CAAGTTTTGTGAGGTGCTTTTTTGATATTTAGTGGATCGGATTATATTTTTTTATTTCTCTCCGATATCCGATCCAGTAATTTACATCAGTATCGGACCAATACCGATACGTAATATCGGATCGGTCCATCTCTAGTAACCAGTACCCATCCTTCACAAATAACGTAGACTGAAGACAACGTGTGAATCAGTTAAGAGGGCTAACAAACTATATTCTAAATCGAGTACTTTATCAATTACAACAAATTATACAACTGTAATAAAAGAGGCAAAATTATGAAGTAACCCAATCTACTGCATTAGCCCTTTTCCAAGACTGCAACAGACTTCGTCAACGAACATCACAGTGAAGAGCAATCCAAACAGTTTTTCATACAACCATATTGCAGACACAAACCTAGATTACAGTATATAGGCAACAAGTCTTATCTGGTGCACTCACTCTCTCACACACTGCAACCATATATATCAATTTAGCAGTTTGGGTGTAAAGAAAATTAAATCTTAAATGCACACCTGCAGAAGTTTGGTTCAGTCCCGTCAGACCATCAACATAAACGTGTTTACAAATCTCTGGACATGAAATCACTCTAAACTTTTCCAAGCATGCACTAACTCTGCATTATGTTACAGATGTGACCTTTGGTCATGCATACAGCATGATAGGGAGGGTGAAGTTAAATACTGCATATTTGTCTTATGGCTGAGATGGGTTAAGAAACACTGTGGTTAATGAGGAAGTCCAGAATAAGTCGCCACGAAGCATTAATAGCAACTACACAAGTAGTCTATAATAGACTTACTGATAAACTGCAATTCAAGCTTTAAGTTTATACCTTACCTGTGACTGTCAGTCAAATTAAAAGCACGAAAGAGGAATTTTATACTATTATTTTTATTTCTCTGTTTTAACTTCTAATTTTATAATTGAACAAATGAAAGCACAGTGTTTTATGTAAAATAGTGAGTCCATGTTAAAAAAAAAAAAAAGGTTTACAAGCCAAATTAGTGAGACTTTTGTTAATGTTTTTACAGCTAAACGCCTTAACCTTTTCTTGGAAGATTTAACTTTGCACACTGATAGCAGCTGATTGTAATGTTTGGCCACAAGCTGCCGATGGAGAAGATCCCCAACTTTAATTTGCATTGGCAACCTGCAGCAACTATGAGTGTGTGTGCGCGTTAGCTCAGGCGAGTTACTTCTACACACATCGTGAACTTTGTCCCAGTTTTTACTCCACACACAGCAGATGTTCCCCGTGCAGCGCTGGAATCAAACTGAGTCACCTCAAACTCCAACTCTCGGCCATGATTCACAGGACAAACTCAATTTTACACACCAGCAATCAAAAGGCACACAGCACATATAAGAATTAACTGGCCAAAAAAAACGAAAAAAAGAAAAGGAAACTCCCTAACTTTTTCTCATAAGCAGATCTTTTTAAAGCTAAACATGTGAAACTGTATAATTTACACATTTACTTGAGAATTCACTTGCATACAGTTTTTATTTAACATTTTTATGGAGCCAATTAATTGGTTTTAACATTGGTAGCCACTAAGTGTTTTTCTATTGTGTTATTTTAATTTGGTTCCAGTTAAATGTTCAAAGATGGTTTAAGGGAGACTTTTTAAAACTGCATTAATATTATAAACTTGTATAGCCTTGATCATCACTAAAAATCTTACTTACCTTCTACAAATATGTTAAGGAGATGACTTGAAACATGCCAGTAAACAAGACATGTACTGTTGACACAGTAAATGGTTTCTACATTTTTTTTTTCCAAACATCTTTGTGCAGTGAAATTTCTTTTTCAAACAACACCATGATCATACAGTGTTCTGTGGTAAAAAACCTGGTCTTCTAAGGCTGTATTCAGTGAGAAATCTACAGATGACGTGCACCTCACTGGAAATGTAACTACAAGTTAGATCAACACAGCTCACTATTGTGAGCGGAACCACCAATTCATTCTGTACATTTCTAGCCATTTTTGCACTGCAGATTTACATTAATCAGTGCAAATGTCTCTATATACAGTATATAATCATAGCATCAATATAAGACCACAAAGGTCAGCATGATTCTTGGAGGGAGATTGCTAAAAGTACTGGAACGGATGTGAAACAATGTATAAAGAAATGGAAAGATTTGAGACAAATACATTTGAAAGAGAGAAAGTCACATTTATTTATTTATCTATCATAGCTAGCACTGGATATTAAACACCGAGACACCGCCACAAGGTAATTAACATCAGCCACATAGGTTACATCGTAGGTTCTATAAAGGCCTGAAGTCTAAATCAGGTATTACAGACAGGATGACTACGAGTCCTCTACAACATATATGTTCACTCCATTTGGACTTTTTTCTGTAGGCTACTGTAATGTATTGGTACTGCAATAAAACCATGGCAAGGCAACTCATTCTGTCAGGTGAACCGACCAAGTGCCTGATTGGATCAGTGTTCGATGTCAGCTATTTAGGTAAGTAGTTCAGTGTTAAGACTACTGCTTTAACTCTTTAAAGCCAGTCGGAGCCGGCACACTCCGTTTTGCATACCTATTTTTAAATCCCTGTAGAACTGGAACCACGTAAGCTAGCGCAATAATTTTTTTTTTTGCATATGAAACCGGAGGAGTTGTACTTGCATCTTATGCCATCAGCTTGTCCTAGGTCACGGTTTCCTTCCACATATAGCTTTGCAAAAATTGCATAAAAAGCACTTGCAGGAACAAAAACATAATATTCCAGAACACGCTTTGCCAATCTGATCAGCTGTTCATAACACTTCCCACATTGAAATAGACGTCAGCGCGAATGATCGCATGTCCGCCATTACCTGCCCGAAACCGGAAGTGATGTCATTTTCGTGGAATATGTTGTTTTTTACTTGTAGGCCTTAAAAGCCTATACTGGTGTTTTTATAAGTCATGTTTGACTTTATGCTTTTCTGAATAGTTTCTGGGATGCTTAGAACTCAAATTGCACTGCTGGAAATAGTTTATTTTGTTCCACATGCTGTTTTCTTTGCAAATTTGCATCATAGGATTGTTTTTTGTTTTTTCTGTAGTATATAAATTGGTGCCAATTTCTGACAATTGGTGTATCTCAAAAATTAAACTATGAAGACACTCAAAATAAATTTCCTGTTGTTGTAAACTATTTTTTGCAACTTTTTTGTATTTAAAGTTTTGAGGGACAACCCTCTTAAATTTCTCCAAGTAGAAATATATGTAAAAAAAAAACAAACAAAAAAAAACCTAAAACGATTTTCAATTTTTTTGTAGTTTATTGCACTTTTTTGCAATTTATGTAGTTACTATGGACTTAATGCATAAATATTATTAAAATTTGGGCTACAACTGTTGTATTGATGTATAGCAACTTGAAATGCTCCCAAAAATGGCTCCACAGCATGTAAAAATATAAAGTAAGCTCTGGCGGACTTGGTTCTATGGTAGGTCTTAAAGGGTTAATGCTCACATTCACCCTTTCCCTCAATAGGATGAGAATCTCAACAATACTGAGCTTAAAACACCAACATAGATTTAAGTCAAACAAAATGATTTTGTGCAAAAACCAAACATACTAACATAGAAATACTCTGGAAATTGAAGTTGGTCTGTCATACAAGACATCCAGAAAAACAGAGGAAAAAACAGCTGGTGGATGTCCAGCTCCTTGAAGGTGATGGGCCCACCTGTAAGCCCACACAACCTGGAGGAAAGATTAGTACTGCTGACTGTGTTAAAGCTGCTTAAGGCTGGACAGCTGCTGCTGCTCTACATTACCTGAATATAACTTCTATACCAGCAAATACCAGCTGCTTGCTATAAGTCTTTAAAATGAAAAATGTACATTTAGAGACACTAGTTAAATTATGGAAAAGTTAAACCACATCTTGGCAGGAACTGCTCCTCTATCATAGCATTTTAATTATAAAAACTTACTTTGGCTTGCAAACGTCTGCGCTCCACTTACAGCAGGGAACAGCCGAATGATGCCTAGGCTGGACTTCAACAGCTACTAGTCTCTAGCAAACACCTGGGTTTTTCCTGGCACTAAATTTGCCTTTGGTGGGTGAAGTAACCACAAGTGATCTGACCTGACAGACGTCTGTGCACTGCCTGTTATTTTTTGGCTATCTGATAAACATTCTAAGCTTAAGGGAAAAAAGCCCCACATTTGCTAACAATATTTCTTTAGTGGAAAGCCAAAACCTTTTTGGCGGTCACAAAAATATACCTAAAAATGGTAGGATGCATATTAAGTTGTACCATTGCAGCATATTAACGTCTTAATATGCTGAGAAAACAGGACACAACACTTGTCTCACATTCAACTTACCAGTAGACATAGTAGGCCATTGCCATGAACACCATCGCCCCACAGATCCCAGTGAAGATCATGACAGCACTCTGGTTCAGCATTTTGGCTTCTGGTATTCCACCAGTTCACAGCCAGAAAAAATATATACTAAAAACAAAACAAAGAAAAGGCCTGCAGATAGCAGAGGATAGTCACAAGCTGCCCTGCTTTGTCGCCATAATAATCCCACAGAAGGGAAGAGGGAGATTATGATGATGACAGCGAGAACACAGTCAGATCCCAAGAAACTGTAGGAGGAACTACCTAATCAGCACAAGAGTTTACCAGGGACCAATGAACTCGCCCATGAACTCAAGAGTTATTAAAAAGCATAAATCTTCATTTAAATCAGCCTAAAGTAAACACCTCAATGAATTGTTATCAGATTCGGCTAAATAATATCAGAAGGAAGTCTAGGAAGACAGACAGCTCACTTCAGAAAGGAAGGAGTCACACGTACTGTTTGCAGTGTCTTACAAGCATTCCCATCCTCTAATCCAGTGTATCAGATTAGTGCTGATTAGCAGGCTATGGGTACCCTGGATATGTCACATTCAATTAACATTAACAAAGAGGAGGCCTAGCCTCTGCCCAACCATAGTGAAGTAAAGAGAATAGCATTGTTACGCTAAAGTAACCAATCATAATTTACTGTATTGTGATTCACCCTGCCATAAGCTGCCTGTTACTAACATCTTGCATCATGAAAGTGATGGGTTAAAAAAAATGATCAGCAATATCCTTGAAAAATCTCTTCATGTGATATCTAGTCGTGTTTTCTTATTGGTTTTTTACTGGCTAAAGATGGACCCTTCAGAGGATGGCTATATGTGTTACCACAATTTGTCAACGAGTCTGATTTACCTTACTTAACAGACGTCTATGAATTTTCTGGTATTTTTTGGTCATTTTGTTAAAACAAATCAATATATATTTAAGCTTGATTAACTGAAATTCCACTAAATAAAACTAGTCAACTAGTTAAGTATATTTATTACAGCCCTAGTGGGTATTCTTTGATGGAAGCACAAAATTCTTTGATGGGATCTGTAACAAATGACCACAAAGCCTGAATCAGAGTTCAGATTATTGGCATGCCTTGGGGGTACAGGTCCCCCCCCAAACAAATGCACATAATCACCTATTGCTTATGTTGTTTCAAACAGTGAAACATCAGCAATAACTTATTGCTGTAACAACCAATCTCAGGCTATTGAATCGGTTAACAGTAACAAGTTGGTAGTGACAACAGACAGTTTTCAAAGATGGATGCAGTTAACATCGCGACATGCTTAGTAGCTAAAAACCTATTGATCACAAGTCATGTGAAAATAATGATATCATGGACAATCCTTCTTTCTGAGACTTAGCATGAAACACCTCTGTAAACTGCATTCATATAAAATAAAACATTCAGTCAATTCTGTCTACACAATGGCAAGTCTGCCCACCTGTCAAAGCTGGTTGCCCATTCATTTCATATGCAACTCTAACCTGAATATAGAGATAGTATATGCCATGTGGGCATCCTCTTTCCTTGACAGTACCTTGGGTAAGGAAAGGATTTACTACAGATCTCCATTACTCACCCACACAAAGATAGCACACAGGGCTAGCGGGCAAGCTACCAAAGGCTTCGGATACTTGCACACAGTTAATGGTAATGTGGTCCGGACAAACTAGCAGACAGAGGCATAAATAAACTGTCAAGTGATAGCTGAAGCGAGTAGGTTGACGTTACAGTACAGTTCTAGGGTCTTACCACCGGGTGTTAAAGCCAAATACCAACGGAGATAAAAATACATGTTGATAGCTGGACAATGAAGGTCATTCATATTTCAAAGCATGAAGAGTTCTAAATCCCTGCACAGCACTACTGAGTGTGTTTTAAAGCCACAACACTTACTACACCAGAGACAAATGTAATTCTTGGCAGCTAAAAGAACACTTAAAGTGCATTTCGTTTCTTTAATTATGATCATGCATGCACAGGAAAGAGCATATGCTGGAATAATGATAAAAAATAATACAGCAAGGAAGATTTAAAGGTGAACTCAACCTGCTGTATTTGCCAAAAATGTGGCTCCAAATGTGAACCTGCCGGCTGAGCTCATGATCATATTAGCATATTTATACTGGTTTGTTTATGTGTGAAAAAAAGAAATAAAAAAGAAAAACTATGATCTTACTAACGTGTATTGGCTGTGTAGCCATCTGGGACCATTTAAAACTATGAAAATAAAGCAATCTCACCTTTGCATGGTGTCAGTATTACAATAATCACAGCAAGCATTATGGAAATCTAGTCAACCATTTTATGCAAAGCTTCTAGATAAGGGTTTATCACTGAGGTTAGGTGAAAAGCTGGCTGATGTAAAGAGCCTGGGATCATTTAAACATTAGGTCCTTCAACGCAAGACCGTTTAAAGGTGGGAATATTATGCTGCTACTCCCTTCACTGTTCTGTATAAGACTACAAAGGTTAACAAAAAGAGGATCAACTAGTAAGAGCAGGGAGAGTTATGTGAAATTCTTAGACAGTTTGAGTATGAATGCACTAGGCTGAATCTGAATGCAGGTAATGAATGCTACAAAAGTTTTGACATTGTTCACCCCGATGACACTGCTTAGATAAAGTCTTAACACATGTCTCAAAGTCCAATAGGACAATACTATGCTTGATTACTAGATAAAGGAGATCAATAGGTTACGACTTGTAAACGAGCAAGTCACGGCACTTTGGACCAACAGCTGGTTCAATTATTAATAGCATATATACGTCAACGATGCCTTTAGGTATAGGGCTGTGCGATATGACCAAAATCTAATATCCCGATATAAGACATCTATCGTCCGATAACGATAACGATTGTGCTCGCTAGCACAAAGTCCGATCTGATGTCCAACAGCTCTGATGTGGAGATATCGTACTGGGTTTTTTTGAGCATTGACTATAGCAGTGGGCAGAGCTATATTTTACCTAGCTACCCCAGCCTTCTTTTATTGACTTACTGTCGTTATCTTTGGTAGGATTCATGAATTTCTCCCTTTTGTTTCTTTGTACCATCATCTTAAATCCTAGGAACTAGTGTTTTTACCCTTTTTTAAAATCCACCTTTTCCCCTACTGAAATCAAATCGAGTCTGGCATTTACCTCCTGCACTATCTAAACAAAAAGCACCATTGCCTCCATTAAAAAGGAAGAAAATCCATTACATTTTAGTGCAGAACTAGTGATTCTTTTAAAATTTCTATAACACGACACTGGTGCTCGTAGAAGATACACTTTTACTGCATTGTCAGCGTGTTTGGGATCATTGGTCATGCTGACAAATTAAATTGTGGATTATCAAATGCTTTCCATGTGATACTGCATGGTGGATCAAAGACCTGATGGGACTTCTCTGCATTCATAACGCCATCTATTTTGGCAAGATTTCCAACACAACTGGCTGACATGGAGCCCTAAACCACGACAGAGCCTCCGCCGTGTTTTACACATGTCTACAGACACTTATTGTTGCATCTCTCTCATTAACTCCTCTTTACATATTGACAACACCCTTTCCCTAAAATCGTTTCAGGATAAAGCTTCAATGAAAAGTAGATGGCTCAGCTCATGTCCCTGTTTTGTTTGTCTCTTTTTTTATTTTTAAGGACATGACCTTCAGACCTATTCATCTGCTGTCTTTTTTTTTTATTTTTTATCCTGACACATCTTCTGTAAACGTCTTTATGAATGTTTCCAGTTAATTGCCGTTTTGGAATCCACTTGTTGGTGTGAAAGTTCTAGGTCCATGTAAGCCTGTCAAACAATTATTTTTGACACTTTTTGTAGAATCAACTAAACAAGTGTAACTTGTTCTAGTAACAAAGTGCCTAAAGATACTACTTAAAATTGTTATACAAAACAACTTAGTAGAATAAACAACACTGATTCTTCCCCAGCCTTAGGTTCCTTTTTTTTAAATTCGTAAATGATTTGTGTCAGTGTTAAGGGACTTAAAGCAAAAACAAAAAATATAATTCCTCTGAAAATCATCAGGTACAAGGACTGGACTGAGAATGAGTGGGGGGGAGCAGTCAATGTCCAAAGAAAAACTTGAAGACCTGGAGCACTATTGCTCTTTAAAAACATAAATGGCAGCTCAAGACTTATACAGGATTCATTGACCTTGTAAAATTACTAAATAATGAATAACAGCAGTGATCCAGTCTACATATCCCCCTCTCAAGGTCAATTAAAGGGATGCATAAACACCAACAAGTGGCCCTATATGGCAGTGTGAAGCAGTGCGTGCACGCTTTACCATTCAATATTTAATATAAAAAAGTGAAGCTTTATTAACAGACTTCCCTTTTTCCCTTCTGGTTTTACTCTTAGTAGTATGAGACTAAGCTGTCTCTTGCACAAACAGTCACATTATCAACACTGGTTTAATTTAAAAAAAAGAAAGAAAATTCCCCGTTCTGGTATAAAAATGCTGGGAGTTACTTGCCTGTCACGCACTGCTCGTCCAGCTGGTTAAAAGTGAGGTTCAAGAATAAAGTTAGCACGGGTTAAAACAGCCGCAGACTTCAATGAACTTTAGTAACCTCAAGAGTCGTACGAGATCTGTACGCAGGTCAACTCGGAGCCAGCTGGCGCATACGACGTAAAGCGTGACAGAGCGGGGGTGCAGTACAGCAACATTTAACTACGAAAAATGAACCCAGTCATAGTTTACCATGAACTCTAGCGTATCATACCTTAGTGTCAAAGTGTTGCAGCCCTACCTACTGTATCTGAATGCAAATGCTTAAGACGTCTGTATGCACCAAATGGGGCATGCCTGGGCTGATAGATGCTCAGAGACCAACTAGCCAGCAGGTCCCTTCAATCCCACCACTGACACGGGTTATCTTTTGTCACACATGGCTCGGCTGCGGCCGTTAAGCTAACTGCTCTGTGAAGTCAAAGTTGCAGGCACACACACACAATTCCCTCAGAAGAAGACATTAAAGAAAAAGCCACCCCAACCGTCTTAGCTACTGCCAATAGAGATAGTAAATGTGTGAACACTGGTTCGACTAAATGAGCCAAGCAGCCCAGGGAAGACAGGTGCTAACGGTACAAGCTAGCATGCTATATAAGCAACATCCACACAGCGAGGCTTAAAAATGTTTTCTGGCGACAGGATGGCGTCTATTAGATTGACTCTTTAGCTGCTAATCACTGCCAACTTTTCCCCCATCCTTTGTTAATAGGTACCCGTTATTATCTTAAGCTAGTTAGCCAATTCCCGTTAGCAGCCAATGTCAGTGTCAGCCTTACCTGAAGATTATTCGCTGGGGACTCGGTGGGTTTAGTTACACTTTTTCGCCGCTTTGTGGCCTTCTGGGGGCGTAAAATGAGCCTGTCAACAAACGTTGCCCTACTCCGTCGGTTTCCAGAGACGCAATAAAAATGACCCGAGGCAATAGGATTTG